CAGACGCCGAGAGATAGTCGGGAAAGGTAAAGACAAGAGTAAAGACCTATGGTATCTGTGATGGCTAACGTCGGTGGGGTTCCAGATGGCCGAGCATAAAATGGGGCTGTCTTGGTGACGAGCAGGAAAGTGAAGGAGGGTATTACTGTCAATGTAGGGGGTAGTAAAATAGCCTTCCAGCAGTCACTAAAATGCTTAAGAGTCCAGATTGACACGAAATTGCACTTCGAAAAGGACTTGCGTATAGTTTGCAAAGAGCGCGTGGCCTCCGCCTTGGCACGAATTACGCCTATCATTGGAGGTCCAAGGCAAAGAAGCCGGAGACTACTGTCTAGCGCGGTGAACTCTATTCTGCTCTACGCATCCCCCATTTGGACGGATGCCTTTAGGTCCGGTCGTAGGCCCGCGGTGCGAAGTCAGAGTAGAAAAGTCACGTAGAAGATCTGACTTGAGGGTGGCCCTGACGTTTCGCACGGTATTGTATGATGCTGTGTGTGATAACTGACATGTCCTCAATAGATCTCATGGCACAATAAAGGGCCAGGCTCTACAGATCTCTACAGAGCGAGAGGGAGCTATAATTAGGAACTTCATGAAGGAAGATAGGGACGTGACAAAGGTCCAGTGGCAATGGCGATGCGTTCTATCATCCACTGGTAGCTGGACATTAGGTCGTATTCCAAAGAACGATGTGGACTCAAAGGAAACACGAGATGTGGACCATTATTTGACCCAGTTGTTAACGAGGCATGGGTGCTATTGTGCATACCAACTCCGTTTCCGGTTGGACGATGACTCCTCGTACCCAACCTATGACCCATTGGCTGAAGATGTAGAGCACGTATTCCTTCACTGTCCACACTTCGTTGAGCAGAAGGAAGAACTCCACTGACTGCTCATGCAGGTCGTGTCTCCTGAAACCAACGTCATTGAATACTGGTTTCTCAAGAGAATTGAAATGCAGTAGCCATCTACGTCGCAATAGTTTTAATGAAGCTTCGGGTAGACAGCGAAGGAGATCTCGTGACATCACTTGGCATAAAGCGATAAGCCAACTTGCCCTTCCCGAGATGCAATGCCTGGAGGCGATTTCGCGGGAAGGGAATCGGAGGAATGGGAGGGGTTTTTAATGGGTAAGGCAAAGGCTGGCTGTGAATCTCTCAAGCAGCGGAGTGCGGGCTCCGCAGTGTCTTCGGAAGATTTCCTCTGACCTTGCAAAAAAGACAGACGCGCGCTGAGACAGACGCGCGCTGAGACAGACGCGCGCTGAGACAGACGCGCGCTGAGACAGACACGCGTACAGACACGCGTACAGACAGACACGCGTACAGACAGACAGGCATTTTTCAGGAAATGTTGTGAATTGTTCCAAGAACTTATGTCTAGAATACGGAAAAAATACTGAAATTTTGTTGAAAATATCAATTTTATGGTTTTTTATTTTTATTTGATATTCTGTAAGTACATTCGAAGTTAACTTCATACATCTTTAAACAAACACGTTTCGTTAACAACTTTCCCCCTTTATATCGTCATTGGAGGATAGGGAATAGTGTGGGGTTTAACATGCGAAAGTCGTCGCATAGGTACGCTAGTTTTGATTAATTTAGAGATTATTTCCAAACCCCGATTTTAATCCAATAATACTCACTTAAAAATTGCAAACTTTTGGTAGTGGTCAATCACCTTACCAATGGCCTGTAAGTGCCACTTGGTATCCTACCCCTAATTGTGTTTGAGACACTACGCCCAAAAAGTATAATTTCATGTTACACTATTTCATTATGCCACCACTGTCGCAAAAGACACTACTAATACTGATGTTTTCCCCCTGAATATTGAAATTATATTGATGGTCAATTTGATTCACAGATACAATTAATGCTGCACGAAATAACGGTGAAGTTTCGACAGAAAAACTCTTATTACAGGGCTCTGGTAAGGAAAAGATGGATAAACTTAAACGCTAAATTGAGAAAAAAATCTAAAGCATGTGGTGTAGACAGAATCCATCCGTTCGTCCGTGAACAACGTTAGCAGTTAAAGTTCAGCCGATTTCTTCAAAATTGATATTCCCAAATTCATCAGGTAGCTGCCGCGGCCCCTTGAATTTAAAACCAATATTTTAATTTTGGAGAGGGGGTACTTTACATGAAGCCTATAGGACATTTTCAAAATTGTCAAAAAAATGGCTCCATCGTTTTTATTAAATTTTCTTGTTGGATAGTGTGAAGGGAGTTTACGAGAATGGAACAGGTCTCGTGTTCGTTTAAAAACCTGATTTTTCGAAAATTTCAAAGTTCAAAATTTTTTCGGAGCCTTCCTACAATGAAAATATTAAAGATAGAGATTTTTTCTCTGAGTTATATCTGTTCCTCAAAGATAGATTTGAAATAAGCTCAGGTACAAGTTTTCGAAAATTTGAGTACTTTTCTCGTAATTTCGCATGAAAATATGGGTCAGAAAATACGTGCTGTTTGAGTACCACTAGTTGACTTATTTCATTTATACATTACATGTATATTTTACTTCTCTAAACGTCACGATCATCTCCCCCATTCGTATCGGTCTTCTGCGCATGTGCCGATGCACATAATCGAGAGATTTGGAAGGTATAGCGTACAGCAACCGTCTGAAACCTCGATCTTCTGTGCTTGCACACATTCATGTGATGCGAAACTCGAAAAGCACATGCGCGGAAGATGATAGTAATGATTGCTGCAACGCTTCGCTATGCAAAAACCTTCTTTTAGATAAAGTAGGAGTATCGTATTTCCACTGTTCGATAAACAATAGTTATACTATTGCGTTACTTTCTACTTCTCAAAAGCATTCCTAGATGGCAGTAGTTTGAGATAAAAGTTATTTTGGCTGGCAATGCTGATTTCTTTGCATATTTATAAACGTTCTCTTTACCAAACTACTTCGTTACTACTACAAAGATGATATTATACATGAATATACATTACATATACATTTACATATACATATACATTTCGGAATTGTAAAATCGAATAACTATATGGTTGTGATGCATCATTATCTTTACTTCTTTATTCAGTAGCAAAGAAATGTCTTTCCTGAATACCTCACAAGGGATAATTAAATTATATTGAGAACTTTTTGTGTTGCAAACTTAATTGAAACATATTTCTGTAAAACGTGATAGAAGTTTCATATCAATAATGATTAGAAACTAAATAATCTGCATTTTTATTCAGACTCATCAATCATATAATTATACTTGCATATATTATCATTATAACATAACCTTACTTAATTAGCAATGCTTCATTAAAATAAACGGGCGTGAGAGAAAAAAGGGAACTATATACGAAGAATTCAGGGCATTCCCAGCCCTCAAAATTATTTTGACATTGCTACACACGGTTAGCTCATCTTGTTTTGTCGAAAGAATTGAACCTAGAATCGTTTTCGGGATACTACATTGGACAAGCCATAATTCCGGAAGTTAATTTGCCAGTTAACAAGAAGTTAACGTGCTACCCCTTACTTCCTTCTCCGGTTTATTTATCATCCAAATAAATTTCTTGCTATACTTTAACCAGCAGTCATAATACAATTTCGATCGCGAACTTCTGGATAACTCCAACTGGAATTTGGTAATACAGGCCCTTACTCCTTCAATTTAAGATTACATACATTTCGAGTTTATCATTTCTGAACACTCATGCTACGGAGTGAGAGTATCCATAAGAGCTAAATCTAAAAAAAAATGCAATAGAATGTTAAAATACTCATTTTATAGAATATGACTAAAGAAACACGACTTGTGCCCCTTTAGGAGCGCGAAAATTCAACTTCCAATGTCCTAGAACGCACCGTTTCCGAGTTATGGACGTGTGTAAGCGTGTTGAGCGTTTTCCCATTGATCTGGCTGAAGCCTCGACCCCATAAATTTGAAACTTATACTTCATTTTTAGAAGTAATTTACATGAAGACCCAACATTTTAGATAATTTTTCAAAACAGGCCATGTAGCAAATTAAGTTAAAAAAGCGCTGAAAACTTTTTCTACGAGTAAACATGAATCATTTAAACCAGTCCTTTCATTCACGATTCAGATATGTTAGCTCAGAGGCTTAAAGAGCCGCCTACGGCACTAAAGTACCTAGGTTCGATTCTTAGCCCTGCCGAATACTTCTGCGGATTCAATTAGTATTATATTATTACGTGACAGTGACATGTAATACGAGAAAATATGTTTCTAAGTTGTTGTTTTCTTAAAAGAACGCTATTCTTATATAGTAGTGGCAACAGTATAAGTAATAAACTTTTCCCCCTTTGAGCGCCATTAATTTTTACTTTCGTTATTATTATTATTATTATTATTATTATTATTATTATTATTGTTATTAATATTATTATTATTAATATTAGAAATTCAGATTTTTCAGAGAGAAATATAAACGTGTCCGAAACGCCTCTAAAAAATGCCATACGATCTTTCAAATAATCAGTCATCGAATTAAATAATCTTGTTCCCCTTGGACACCAAAGTACAAGTTAAATGACACGAAATTGAAAAGGGAGAGAAAAAATATTTCGTCTTTTCAATGTGTTCCTATATGCTTGGAGGAGGCCTTTCGCACCCAGCCTCGTTTATTCTTGGGTCCGCCTTAGCTGCAATGAATATTAAACACGCACTCAATGTGTAAACTGCACTAATATTGCAAGAGATTATCTACAATATACGAATAAATTCCTTGAGAATTCCCTATATGCTCAGAGAAAATAACCTCAAGGTTTCCATGGTCTTTCACAATTTCACAACAAAAGACTACCTCATCTTGTTGATTCCAGACACCCCAGCAACAGTTTCAGTAAAAGCATCTAATGGTGTGTTCATAATTCTCTGACATTTTCTGTTATAAACAGCCTCAAAAATTTAATATTCATTACTGAACGTATTACGAAATTGAATTTCGTGAGTTAATTGATTCCTGGTTTGGACTTTCATCGTTATTTTTCTACATCGCAATGAGTGATATGCCAGAACGTGATCGACCCCGTAGGAATATTTTAGATGATCATGAAAACAGAATTCCGTTAGAATTAAGGCAAGTTTTGACCCAGTTAGCTTTGCGTTATATTCTTGACCAGCCAGAAGACGGAATAGAGTATTGCTACGAATTTTTTATGCAAATCTGGAATCAAAGAAGGCAACATGGTGAAAGTTCAAATCAAGGAAAAAATTAAGAGTTTTCACTCACAATAAACAGGTATGTCCTATTTTTTATAGTTGTAGGAAACATTTACAATATATTAAGTAGTATTAATAATTTGCAAGTGAACTTATATTTATAAGAATTGATGTTAGTCATTAACAATATTCTAGGGAAAAGCATATTGCAATAAATGCACATTTTGGGGAAGAACAATCCTTTATCATGTATTTCAAGGAATAATGTTATGTTGTTTCTAGCAATATTACTATGTTTTCACAAACTTCCAGGGGAGTTTAAACCATGTAACCAAAAATCTGATAAACCTTGTTGCATTTAAATTATTTACATATCAAAAATGTATGATTACTACACAGCCCATTTCAGAACTTTAGTTAAGACAAATTATTTCTGGTTTTAAAGGTGGTGAGGGTATTATAAAAAAGAATATAAATAAGTTTTTTTCTTAAATATTGCACAATTTCTATAACCTCTCTCGTCAAATAGTAGCAACCCTTAAAAATTCAATAGAATTAATGTACTTAAAGGTAAGTACCATTGTATTGTAATTTTTCCATTATTAACTTATTTTATTATTATTAACTTAACTCTTCAAACAAGAGATCAAGGTAATCAATTATTAGTATGATAAATGTGTAATGTAGTAAAATGGGAAATGGTATAATACTTACAATCATGAAAAATGCAAATTATTTGAAGTGTATAATAAAATGTCATGAAGCAATAGAACGTTGATGACTAATGATGCAGAAAGTGAACATATATTCATTGCTTTCAGTAAAAATAATTGAAATTCTGTTTTCAGAGAATATCAGATTGTTCCCTGTGTATTAACAAATACTATATTTTGTCTGTACATGTTACACCATTTAACTGCTTCAAAAAGAACACACATACTAAGAGAGTGTTGAATTTATTGACTTTGCTTTCCACAATCAAAACACAGGAATCATTTTTAATTTGGCAGATAGAAATATTCTACTTGCATATCCTAAGTTCCATGCAGATAATCTGAAATATATTCTGAGATACTCATAAGAAATTGATATTTTAAAAAGTTCATTAATAAACACATATTAAAAATCCAAAATAGGATATGTTAACTGTAAAAATAAGCTCTCCATTTCTAACAATAACTATGCCATTCAACCCACTTACAACTAGTAAAATTAGAAGTTATCTACATTGCATGAGTATAAAAGCTATTTTTAAAATAAATTTATTATTCATGTTAAATTAGGAGGATAATGATAAAAAATATGAATATCTCAAATTGCATATTATTTTAAAACTAAAACTACCAACATTGACATGGGTAGGCAAAAACTCCATGAAATTTATGAGATCCTTCTGTAAGTAATTTTTCTCCTCCTGTCATTGGCTAATGGAAGTTTACTCTGTGCCTCTGATTGGATGTACAAGGGCCCTGCTATAGTTATTGGTCCTATCCACAGTTTATATTCCTTTAATGTTGCGAGTGTTTTTGGCAGCTCAGTTGTGATTTGGATGTTTGTTTGGTTGCGCTTGGGGTAATTGAGTTATTGGTCTCATCCATGATGAAAATACATCATAGTCTCGTCCAACTTTGTGTAGTTAATGATTTTGTCCGCTATTTTCAACTTTGCGATGTGTATCTATGCTACAAAGATGATTAGAAGGTGGATAGATAACGTACAATGAGTGAGCAGCCATTTCTGTTCGTATTATAAACCAAAGTATAAGTATAATAGTAGTTTTTGAACCTGATAAGGAACGTAACACACTGGGCCGAAACGTCGCAGTAATTTTATAACTTTTCTATTTAATAATTTCTTTGGAAATTAATATTATAAATGTATCATAAATGAAAAACGCAGTCTGTTTTTAAGCCTTTGCCTTACGTAAATAATAACATTGTTCACATGTCATTGTATTTACTCATTCATTTAATAAGGCAAATAACATATAATTTTGAAGATTTTTATGCTGTTTAATAATGTCTTGAATCATTTACCAAAAAATACTCCAAGCTCGAATAAAGACAAAATTTACGAAGAAATATTTTCTAACGGTATTTTCAATCACTAAAAAGAATAAAAGTACAAACTTTACTTTTAAATATCGTTAATTTTTCCAAATGGTTGTAAAACATGAAAAAATAAAGAGTATCACTTCCATAAATAATATTTTATTAATATGACTTTCAGTAAAAATAATATTAAGAATGTCATTTGGGTTACCAACAACAGGTTTGAAATAAGTGTTGAAATTGGCGTAACAAATGGCAATCCTGGGACAGTGAAGAGAAGCCAAGACAGCCTAGAAAAAACAATACCACGAGGTCCTAAGTATTGCCATCAATAAAAATAATTCATAAAATCTTTCCTACAATGGTAATCTCTTCAGAATTAAGGAAATATTGTAATAATTTCATATTCGCAAATAGTGGCAGCGATTTAAAATAATATAACTATGTTTCCAAGTTTTCACCCCTCCCTCAATTTCCCCCTTTACTTTCTCGTGCAATGCTCGCCGAAGTATTTTTTACGGAACACGCAACTGGCACAGCCATAAGCATTTTTGATTGCACCCGTGAACCATTTTACATTGACGCGGCATGCCTCAGTGCTCGGCGGGAAAGCCTATCTCTACGCCTACTTACCGTGCGTTTTTATAAAGGCTAAGGCTAAGGCTAAGGCGCTTTCAAATTGTCAGCACGGATTCAGGAAATTGAAATTAAAGGAAAGCTCCGTTTTTTAAACTTTTTTTAAGGAGCTTCATCATCTATTGGCAATAAAGAACACTTTTCACCACCAATAGGTCCGTCGAAAGAGATATATTTGATCTTACTCATCATAAAATATTGCTTTGAAATCTATTTGCATACGAATATCGCCATAGTAACCACGAATATCAAAACATTTTTACACCCATGAAATTTAAATGGCAAATTACCCAAGGTCAGGAAATGCATAGTCTTCAACCGTGCAATCCGTGCGTTGCAAACAAATTACCCATTAATGAGAATTATGTAACAATGGGAACACATTGATAATTTAAATGATTGTTTGTGTATAATTCTTTGGTTCCACTTTCGGTGGACAAGAGCGTCGGAAATTTGAGACTATTCGGTTTATACTGAGAATACGGATCGGCACGGATAAACACTTTTCAGACAAGAGAATGTAGACAATGACACTAATGTACTGAAACATTACTAAATAAAGAGTTTCGCCAATTAGTAAAAAAGGGATTCTCTATTGCAAAACAATCTTATAAATATAGATTTCTAGAATTAGCATTCGTCGGGTAAGTTTCGCGAGCAGCATGCCGTTAAAAATTGATTCTGAAGCCGCTAATTAATGGATAAACGATGTCTCAATTCGGGACGCCATATTAAAACAACTTTTCATGCGCGCTGTTACTCGTGTATGTACAAAATGTACCAACATCGTCTGATATCTACTTATTTTAAATTACTAATCTAACAAATTCCCAAGGCTGCTTTATCTAAAATCAAAGATTCTAAATTTCACTGAAATGATTTCCAATTTAATAATGTTTGTAACTTTTGCAATAAATTACTGAGAAATAATACGTACTAAAGTATCCTTGAACGTGCTCATTTTGACAACAAATGACTATCCTATTTGTTGACTTGGCAACCGGCAGGGTCCACCGATGTTTTGGCGCACGAACTTCTAAATTAACAGTTACCGCAGAAATATTCCAAATTTTTTGTCAAAATTTACTTTTGTGAGTATGTGTTTACCCTTTTTTGTGCTTTCACCTTAATTTAACAATTTCGCAATGTGTGACAGAAGTGATAGAGAGGAAAATAATCGAGCTAGGAGAAATATCTTGGAGGAAAACCAAGGGCGTTTTCCTGCAGAATTTGTGGAAGTTTTAACACAATTGATCATCTGTTACCTAATAGAACGTCCAGAAGATGGAGTAGAATTCTGTTTAGACTTTTTCCGTAGGCTTTTGAATCAACGCAGTGAAGGTGAAAGTTCCGGAGAGGGGAAACATTAACAAGATTTTTCGCACAGGTATGACCTATTTCTATAATTTATTTTAATCGAGTTATACACAAAATCTGCCTTTTCTCCGTCTTTAAACAACTTTTAAGTTAAATTTTATTATAAAATGGATAATTTTGGCAATTCATTAACAATTTTTTAAAATGAAGTATATGTTTTATTGGGGGGTGGTATCAACCAATATTGTGTTGCTCAGTATAGATCATGTTTATGCTTTAAGCAAAGACTTTTTTTCTTCTTCTTCTTTTCTCAGAAATGTGAAAGAATTTCAAACTTGTAACAAAAACATAGAATGTTTGGTTTCTTTTCAGTGATTTGCATATTTTAAATTGCACATTTAAGAACTTCAGATAAGTAAATAATGTTTCTTCTTTCAGAAGTAGTGACGTAAATTAAAATTAAATAGAAGTTTCACTTTTTAATTGCAGTTACTACAATCTCTCTAGTCAAGTAAAAGTGATACTCTGAAAAATGCAGCAAAATCAAAGCCCTTATATACCAGATATGTTTGCATTTATTACACTTATTAGTCAAACTGCAGATGAAGGCAATACATTATCAGCATGAGCATAAGTGTTATTGAATGTAGATGAATATTACAAAGACACATTAAAAATATGAATTGTCTCATATTTATTTAATTTAAAAAAATCGGAATGGCATAGAATAATGGGCTATATGTATATCAAATTCATTTTAGCACAGATACTCTGTTAATGGAAGAGTTCCGTTTTGATGTCTATTATTTACTAATAGGCTAAATAGCAGAGGCCTACAATTTCATAGGCCTCTGCTAATTACAAATATCTTTTAGAATTCAGGAATCTTCCATTAGTATCAAATCAAATTTTGAAATTTTTACATTTTACAACACAGTTATTCACATTACATTAAATCATAAAAACACCAATTAAAATACTTGATTTTTACATCATCCTATCAGAAGCAGATTTTATAAGGTAAGAAATTAAAAATGTTTCTGTAAGTAACACTAACAGTTTCTTAAAGTAGTGTATATTTATGCTGAAGTTTTCTATAATTATAAGAATTTGTGATAATATTTGGTAAATACATAAAATTCAGAAGGTAAAATAATTCATCATCATTTGAATCAAGTATTTGAAGTCGTGTGCATTAAAATTTAATTAAAATTCTGCTCGATTATGTACCTTTTCACTTAGAAATATCAAATATTTGTAATTAATAGATGAAGATAATGTAAAATACTTGCAATGAAATAAAATGAAATCATGTGTAATGAATAACTTTTTTCACTTATCACATCTGATGCAACTTCTATGCATTTTCAATAATAGATGCAGAAGTAAAGTAGTCTATTTGCTGAATTTTCAATTCATTAATGAACAATTGAATTTTTTTTTGTTCAGTGTTACAAAACATACCATCCAGAAGTGTCAGTGCTAAATAGTTGTATATAAAGGTTTTTAATTTTGAGCTGCCTGATGTTGATGTGGGTTTCGTTTTTTTAATAAAATCTGCTGAAAAACTTATTTACATATTTAAATATGCAATTTAACAATGTTATATAAATTGCATATTTTTCTCACCTAGTGTTATGTTGCTAATGGAAGTAAATGGCTTTTAAAATTCCTGATAAAATGTTTGATAATTTAGGGAAATATATTTTTTCCCTTCTCAAAATCTGCGTTTGGTGAACCTAGAAACAGTATTGAAATGGACTTAATTTAAAAGTATTACTTACTGCAATAAGAAAGTGGTGTAAAAACATCAATGCGAAATGAATGGAGAAAAAATTGAGTGTGCAATACATTTGTGAGATTTTTAATAATAATATTATTTTTCCATTGTAATTTTAAAATTGACTTTTGTTTATTGGTCAGTCTAAAATGGAAGTACCTGGATTCTATGTAATTGAAAATATGTGGGCATTAAACCAATTAAATAAATTTATTTATTAGAATTTCCAACTAATGCATTAATTTAGATTTAACCATTTGAAGAGGATAAACTAAATTTTTTTAAATTAAATGAAATAAGAGTGGATTTTGTAAGAGTACGGAAAAACTTTGAATAATAAGTTTCAATAATTAGTTTACGGTATTTGATTGCTGATCTCCAGGGCGTAGTATTATTATATTATTAAAAATTGTTTGTAAAATAATAAAACTAATATGCACAGCTATTTTGATCTAAACATGTCAAAATCATTTTCATTGTCACAGAACTTACTTGCTAATAAAAAATTGTTAAAAAAGTCCATGACTCAAGAGTGCACTACAATAAAATATAGTAGAATTGTTAATATTCATATGGTCAACATTCACAAGGAGAGGGCAAAACTATTTATTATTAATTCACAACCGCTGTTCATAATTTTGTATAACTTTCATTATAATTTAATATCAATATGCAGTGTTTGATTTATAAAATTTTAGGTCCCGGAACATGGCCCAAATTAATTGTTAATTTAATAGAAATAGGCTTACTTATACATAATATAATTTAAGTAAGAATAACAATAATAACAATAATAATAGTTATCATTATTATTAATATGTTATTATTATATTATTATATTATTATATTATTATATTATTATATTATTATATTATTATATTATTATTATTATTATTATTATTATTATTATTATTATTATTGTAAGAGTAGTAGTAGTAGTAGTAGTTAATTAAAATTAGAGTTTATAATGATATTTTATAAAAATACTTTATTAGATTCGTAGAAATGATACAGTTAAGTGGAAAATTATTTAATTTTGAGTGTACAAAAGTTGGTCAAACTAACAATCAATGTTGCCAAGTGTTTGTCCTCTGCTTTCTGATTGTACGATTCCTAATCCTTTCTAGAGATGCCGGAATGGCATTCCCTTGTGTTCTGACAGAAATCAAAGTCTACCAAGAAGTATTTAATTGAAAGTGTTATCTATAATGTACATAAACATTTTGAAATATTGCATGCCAATTACTAATATCTACAATATTTTTCAAATTTTTATTATAAATTTTGTTAAACATTTTAAAAAACAATAAAAAATTAGAGCTATTGGGGGGTGTTCAGACTTCCTCCCTCTGATGGGCGTGTCGATGCTGTTCGTAGTATCTGAAACATGATCCTTTAATGAAATATTTCTATTAATTTGAAATTGCCTCGTAATTTTCCTAGTAGTTTGAGGATATTTGAAATTCATAACTTTTTAGAAATATATTTTATGACTATAATTTATGACTTAAATTATTAAGAGGCTTGGTATATTTTAAAAACATTTTGAGAAATAATGTTTTTCTAAAATTTTTACCGCAAACAATATTCCTTTTTTAAATTTATGCGTTACAAATGTTATATACAACATGGAAATGCTGATACATAAAGGAACTAAAATAAACAACATACATGTTTGGAAACTTGGGGAAATTTCTCTTGTCCCTTCTGTCAACATATGCACTAATGCAAATGCATCCACACCCAAAAGCGTGCGTGCACACATACACAAACAAACACACACACACACACACACATACACACACACAAGCGCTTACTTTCTGTTATTGCGATAAGCAATAAATGGGAAAACATAGGTTTTTGTTATGTTCATATACAGACAAAATTTAAATACTATTTAATTATTCAAAATATAAAATGTTGAGTATCTGCAATAAAGTTCACATAACCAATGTTTACATAAGGGCCCCACCCTGTCACCTCCACCCCAAACACATTTGTTTTCATCAATTTATTAAAAATAATTATTACTTATTGATCAAGTCACTTTATAAGGAGAAACTCACCATGATTAAACTTGTTTTCAAATTCTAAGTTAACACATACACACACACACACACACACACACACACACACACACACACACACACACACAAATCATTGTAGGGCTGAATTGAAATTGCCTCTCCACTTAGAGTACTTTCTGGATCTGTCCCTGTGTTTCATCATTACTGAGGATTATGTCTTAATAAAAACAGGAAAGTAAAAAAAAATATTGCACAAATATAAACTCATTGTTACATACATTATTACATACATTGCTACATAAATAGCTATGCACCCAACATTTAGTAGCAATTGTAAAGGCCCCACACCACCTACAGAGATGGTTAAGAATTCATTTGAAAGCTTTGGAAACAAATCAACCTATCAATTAGGTCCACCCCTTACAACCCACTATTAGGGGCAGGGGGACACCTCTTAATGTTCGGTATCAGTTGTGAAGCTCCTCGACCAAGGGTTCCCAAACATATTTTATCACGCGCTTATCTATCAGTAAAAAAAACTTCCCAGGCCCCCTTGTTCTTTTTTATTGGGTAATTAATAAAAAAAAGTGTTACACTGAGTAACAATACATTTTTTTCTTTACAATTTTACAAGTTAACTATGAAAACGTTGAAAAGTTTTTTTATTGCTAAGTAAAGAAAATGCAATATGATTTATGCCTAATTAATATTACAAGTTGAAATTTGAATTAAACAGAGAACAAGAAAAATCAGTGAGAAGGATGGGCATGCATTTTGAACCAGATTTCCTATGCTTGTTTGAGTATCAGAAATTGCACAATATAAATCATTAGCGAAGTGAAGTTCCCCCAGATACTTTGTTTTAACTACAATTTTTAATAGAATGTTTGCTTCAGTGACCCCTTTACATTTTCTTAATAATATGACACAAGGAATTAAACAGGAAAGAATTTCGTACCACAATATTGTAAATATCTTGATTGAAGATGCATTGACTTTCGAAAAGCTGAGTTTCTAATCTTCATTGAAATGCAATGATTACAAAATATTGATTTTTTTTTTTTGGAACTGAAACATTTCTCCAGTGTGCATTGTGGAGAGTATTTTCATGAGTGATAGGATATTGTCAATGCATAGTTATAATTTTTTTAATTTTCTAAACATCCTAATTCCTAAGGATGAAAGAACGACACAAAAGTAGAGTACAAATTTCTAATTTATTTATTTATACATTTGTATATTATTTATACATTTTTATTTGTA